GAGTTGCGTGCCAAATTGTTCAATAAAGCTAAGGATATGATCCCAGCATTTGAAAATAAACCTGCAGAGAAAAAATTCATGGAATTAATACAAAATAAAAACATTATTATACCTGTATGAATATGTTTCCTTGATTTGCAAAATGCAGAGATTCTTCAGTGATAATATCAAACATGTCTTTACCTGAGATGTCAATGTTTTTATAATAGATTGACCCAACTGGTGGGACATATAGACTACATAAAAAGAGATTCTTGTATAAACCAAAGAAATCTTTATCCATTTTCACCCATATGGCTTCTTTACATTTACTTTTAATTTTTGTTAGGCCTTCACTTAATATAGACTTGAACATAGCAATTATATGTATGTGCCACCTATCAAATTACCCATACCCATTCTTTATACATTGTCGCCCTTGTAAACATGATTTTGTTGTTTTTTATAGTTCATTTATATACAAATGTACATACTAGCAATTTACATTTATTTCCTCAAAACCTCACCACATCAAATTTTACCAACACCATCGTCGACCCCCCGCGACGCAAATGGTGTTGTCCCAGCTTGACATCCAACATTCAAGATGGCCGCCCACTGAACGTACCAGTCGGTAAAAGTGGGTCGCAAATCGTGTTGAATAAAACGACAACTGAAGGTACATCGCTTATTATTTTAGCGAATAAACATATTTTACGATCAAGCGTATTCGAATATTCACAATTGGAGTTGTTTTGATGCGTAGTTCAGCCCCGGACGGACATATATATCTCCCGGTCACTTCCGGACTCTCCCGGACACTTTTTAGTAGGATCGCCAACTTTTTGTCCTGATCAGAAATTCTGAGTGCTGGTCGCTAGCGGCCAGCGCCGACCAGCGTGGGCAGATCCCTGGTTGCAAGTACACATACATGTACCTAAGTGGCCACAACATAGGGCTATACAGTGTACGAACCGCCGACACAGTCAATATACAGTTAGTCAGCAATAATCATCGAATGGGAGAATACAACCGAACTCGGCCACATTTCAACTCGGCCAAGAGAAATATGCACAACTCGGCCAGTTGTGAATGTCGAGGTGTAAACTGACCAGTCATTGGTCAACAATTGTCACCTTTTTTCACGTCTGTTGCCGTGGCGACATTTTATTTCCAGATGTTATATGCTACACAACACACCCAGTGACGCATCCGTTTCACTGACTGTTTTTGACTAACTCCCGTGGCTGTTCTGTTGTCGATTTCAACAACGCAAGTTTACATACACACACAAACGCTAATGGTTCTTCGGCATGTTCAAGTTGTTGATTTCAACATTGTCGATTTCAGTGACGCAAATTTTCTTTTCAAAGAAAAAACACAGACATTACATCGGAATCACAGACATCACATCGGCGATCGTCTGGCTACGCTGTGTAACAACACAACACACAAAAAAAAGAAACGCTTCTGTTTCCCCGACTGTTGTCCATTTCAGTGACGCAAGTTTTCAAAGAAAAAGCTTTGCTATGTAAAAACACTAAAACTAATGTTTCAATTTGTAGCAGTTTTGTATGGCGCAACATTTTATTGTGTGATCCTTAATGCATTTTATTTTTCAGATCCATTACAAAATATTGTGAAGATTTACGAGTTGCATTTAATAAATCACTTCTGTTATAGATAAACTCTATGTTACGGTAAAATAAACTACTAGTATATATACTACGAGTACGATTCACATGCGTCTTGACTCATGTCACCGTGATAATAAACCATTTGACAAGGCTACAAGTGTGATTCACAATCGGCCCTAACGCATGGTGTGTTTAAATGAACTAATGCAGTAGTGTTTTAGATCGATTCACGGATGGCTTTGGAGTGGATAGTTGTTTATTAAACAAGATTTATGCAAGATTTACTCACCAAAAGTTCTTTATTTTTAACTTGTCATTGTGCTTGGCAAACAGGAAAAGGCTACAATGCTTCATGCACGGAACCAAGCTATGTATACATTGCATATATATTTAAAAACACAACGCGGTTACTACCAGATTATTACATCATCTATACCATTTTTCTCACCCAGTGTGATTACACTCACACATATATATTGTCTGTAGCTGGGAGAGCAGTATATATGAATGCAAATAAAAATAATAAGAACATTATAATGGTTAAAAGTAACTTGTTACTTTCAAAAAAATAATTTTATTTGGGAGAAGGACAGACCAATTTGAACACTGCAATTGGTAAATAAATGCAAATACATCGTTCTTGTAAGATACGAGTTATTGGTAAATAGATGCAAATACACCGTTCTTGTAAGGTACGAGTTATTGGTAAATAAATGCAAATACATCGTTCTTGTAAGATACGAC